CTAGAGGCTCATGCTGACAAGGACAAGGCCAATAATTCTGGCGCAGCTCCGCTGTATGTGGCTTGGAAGTCGTGCGCCTGTTGCTGGAGGCCATGGCTGACGAGAACAAGGCCAATTATCATGGCCTAGCATCACTGTGGTTGGCTTCGCAATGAGGCCACTCGGAAGTTGTTCGCCTGTTGTTGACGGCCAATGCTGGCAAGGACAAGGCCCAAAATTGTGGCTCAGCTCCGCTGTATGTGGCTTCGCAAGAAGGCCACTTGGGGAAGTCGTGCGCCTGTTGCTGGAGGCCAGCGCTGACAAGGACAAGGCCCCATGGTGGCCAAACACCTCTGCACATGTCGCAACGAGGCCACTTGGAAGTTGTGCGCCTGTTGCACGAGGCCAATTCCCATTAGGACAGGGCCAGGCATGATAACCAAACTGCAGTCTTCAGAGCCTGGCAAGGAGGCCATCTGGACGTCGCTTGGCTGCTGCTAAAGCTGCTAGAGGCCAAAGAGATTGTAGTAGGGCATGGGGTCAGCGCGATCACGAGTTGACTCCGAAGCGGCGGCATACCGAGCTTGCAAACAGCGGAGTTTGTCTTCTCTGGTTGCTTCTTGGATCTAGGCCATATGCACAGTCCCGGCACAGTACGGCGCATTCTTATCATGCTGGTTTGAAACAAGTCCACATATCTCCCGTGCTATCAGTGGCCGGAAAGTAATATCGTAGCGTCGCTTCTGAATATGGATTCCTTTACAAACAAACCGATTCTAACTGTGTGGGTCCAGACATCGTCCACGGCCCTTGATGATGCCAGGGTCTTAGACCCATGACCATACGCGGTTTCTCAATATTTATTGCAGTATCCCCATAAAAAAATATGTATCATACTTTTTGTGTGTGTGTGTGGGTTTCCATTCTTGTTTAATGTCGCTAAGTATCCTAATGTATAGAGTCGGGTACCCCTTTGAGCCAGTGCATATACACAGATGTTGTTGAGGAGGTCAATAGGGGTCCCCGAATTCCTGGCAAGTACACCTGTTGGAAAAGATCCTCCGGTTCAGGCGCTGTTTAGGGTTTAGCCCAGTGATGGCTTTGCATGCACCCCAAACCTTACGCCTTAGGATTCAAACCCTAAATTCCCCAAATTCCCGGGCTTAGTGTGCGTGGGTCCGGGGTGCCAAACAAAATTCCGCACATAAGAATGTCTAGGGTTCATGGTTTAGGCAATTTAGGATACAACAGAGCCCCATGGATTCTCTAGGTAACCCCCTGAAGCCTATCTTCAGGGCCAGGGGGACGTAGCAACTGGATTTCTTTATGAATCCTATGAGCCAACATGACATGATGACTCCAGTCATGTTCATTATGACCCTGCGCACTAGGCCCTAAGCCCTAAATCCTAACCCTAAACCCTAAACCCTAACCCCAAACCCTCATTGCCTGGGGCCTACAAGTAAACCCTCGGCCCTCAGAGGCCCTGCTTCTCTGGGTTGCTGTTAGGGAATTTAAGTTACGTTACCATAATATGGGTATATAGTAAATACTGGGGCTCCTTATTACTCTAAACCCTGAGCCCTAAACCCTAAACCTTTTCTAGTGCCTTACTATAAGTTGCTTAACAGCAACCCAGCCATTTCCAGGCCCCTGGCGAGGCGCAGGCGCCAAGCATGCGGCGCCAAAGCAGACAAAGCAAGGCAGCTCAAGCTTCGTTTGGGTTTAGGGTTTAGGGTTTAGGGTTTCGGGAGTTCTGAAAGCAAGGATTATGGTTGGGTTTAGGGTTTAGGGTCTACCTGGACCCCGAAAGTATGTAAAATACTGGCCTTTATGGCTGTTAGTCTGGACTTAGGGCTATTATTTTACATGCTTTTGGGGTTTAGGTAGGGATTACGTATGATATAAGGGAGGTATATAGGGGGACCCCTACTGTGGGAGTCGGCTTTGCGAGGCTCAGCTAGGAGAAAGGGTCAAACTATGAGGGTTTCCGGAAATTGGGGGTTACCATTTTAGGGGTCCCTGTAATTAAGGATTATAGTATTTGGGGGTCTATATTGGGGTCCCCTTATTTTGGGAAACTACCCTATAGGGCCGATCTCAGTTTGAGTGTCAGGGCTTTGTAAGATCCTGGTCCGGGACCCATTGATCCCACGTCTCATTTCTTGCCTTTGGTCAGCTTGAAGTGAAGGACTGGATCCTTATAGAAGTCTAGAAGTGCCTATATAACCTGTTATAGTAGGGCCATTTTTTTTCCAATTTGTTTTTTCTCAGCTAACCAAAGGTAAGATCTAAGGAGCAGGTTTAGAGTTCCGAGGTGAAGGAATAAAGGTGCATTTCCATGGATGGCATAGTGGCGACGAAGGATTTTCCTTCCCGGCGTCGTTTTGGAGTAGTGGTGTCGAGAGGCAGAACGAGGCTTTAATTGTACACGTACTCCCTACACATTTCTGAGGGTTTGTCTACTTCCTTCAACTGGGGAGTGTGGCAGCAGTATTGCAGTGACAGCAAGGTATAGTAGGAGTTTGTAACATCATTCAACTTGCAACCCCCCCCGCCCCAAACCCTAAACCCTAAACCCTAAACCCTAAACCCCCCCCAAACTCACGTTGTGCGCACTACCTGTTACCATGAGTGCGTTCATGAGCACCAGAAACAAAAGAGTTTGCGGGTTGTGCAGAAGCGTTATCATGAAGCGCAGGAGAAAATTGCTCACAGTTGCCTATGTGCATGCTACGTATATACGTATATATGTGTATATATATATACATGTATATATATATGTATATATATATATACACAGCCCCCCTTAAGTAGGTAGAATATGGGTCGCATGGGGATCATATTATAATATACCCAAAGCCATGTTCTATCTACTTAAGGGGGACTATAGGCTTCCATGGAACCCCAGGAGGACCGCACTTCAATTGACACCACGGTCATCTAGAAGGTACCCCTTCTCAGGTTCAATGTTTCTTTGGGAGGAGTGTAATACAACGCAGGTCAACATTTTTGTTTCCAAAATTAAAGCAAAACCCTTGACCCTAAACCCTAGGGAAAGCGGCAGCGCCTTGCGCCCCTGAAGGTTGCCTTTTTTACTTCGAACCCTGCAGCCCCAACACCTTACATTGCCCGAAGCCCGCCCGACCGTGTTAAGGTAGAGGCCGAAGGGTCTAGGGTTTAGGGATTATGTGAGCTATAGTCCAAACATTTCGGGGGGACCACCATAGGGGTTATGAAGGGGGTACTAGGAGTTGAGACTATGAGTCATGTGGAATAGGGTTTTGAGGTGCGTTGCGCTACAGCTATTTCAGGCTGATAAGTGGATGATCGTACACCCCTCAACCCTGCATGCCCCCAAAGGCCCTTAATCACACCCCAAAGCTGTGACTTCAACACCTCTAAAACCCCCACACCACCTACTCCTCAAACTGATTAGGATTAAAACTGCAGAAGAGCGTTCCGCTCTCAAAATGGTAGTTTCCCAAAATTAGGGTACCCCAATATAGACCCCAATATACTGTAGTCTTTATTATAGGGATCCCCAAAAAGGTACCCCTAATTTTGGGAAACCCCCCTCCTAAACCCTAAACCCTAAAACCTAAACCCTAAACCCTAAACCCTAAATCCTAAACCCTAAACCCTAAACCCTAAATCCTAAACCCTAAACCCTACAGAAATCCAGAAAGCAGTAAATATTGCCCACGCACAGGGCGGCCTCCTCCGGAGCCGAAGGTCTCAGAGAGCCGCTTTTCGCAGCCTCCACCGCGGGGTGTGGTCATCGTGGAGACCCAGGAGGTGGGGTTTAGGGTTTAGGGAGGGTTTGACCCACTCCAAAGGGTACCCCCTTCTTAGGAAGGAGGCCTCATATCCTAAGCCCTAAGCGCCAACCCTTTTCAGAGACACACCATAACGTGAATAGAGAAAAGCCTGCACCAGCGCGCAGGTGACCCTGATCAAGCCCAACACCCTGCACCCCGATCCCTGAGACCTCCAAACCCTAAGCCCTAAA